ATCACAGTCTTCTCGACTGTGCCTACCCTACTGAGGACTCTAGATGTCACAAGTATAAATCTACATCGCTTGAGAATTTTGATTCTGGGAGGAGAGGCTTGTGGAGAAGATTTGATACCGTGGGGGGAGGGGAGAATGCTTGTCAATTCSTACGGTCCTACGGAGACAACAGTGGTAGCTACCGCTTGTGTTGTGGAGAAGGGAAAGATGATTACCATTGGAAAACCGCTGAAAAACTACGTGGCTTGGGTGCTGAACGACAAGCTAGAAGAAGTACCGAAAGGTCAGGAAGGAGAACTGTGTATCGGGGGAAAATGCTTAGCAAGGGGATACAGGAACTTGCCTGATAAGACGAGTCAACAATTTATCCTTCACCAGGTATACGGGAAAATATACCGAACCGGGGACTTGGTACGGTACACTGACGATGGGGAGTTGGAGTACCTTGGAAGAATCGATGATCAGGTCAAGATTCGAGGCTTCAGAGTCGAAGCCAGTAGTATTGAAACACACGTACAAAGACAAGACAATGTCAAGATGGCGGCTGTAGTGGTAAGGTCATCATCACCAGGGCAACAGTCTGTCATAGCACACATCACCCTTGAAGATAAAGCTAAAGGGTTTGACCCACTCGCTGCTGTGACCAACATAAAGGCATCCCTACCGGACTACATGGTACCTAATGGTTACGTCATCCATGACGTCATGCCCACAMTGGCYAGCGGTAAAGTAGACAAGAAGAAGCTTAAAACCCTGGAATCTGAAATACAACCATTCAGGGCAAGCAGYAAYTATAAAGCTCCTCGTAACGACACGGAAARGATGRTATCTGAKRTCTGGCAAASGAACYTTRGCTGYCCAAGGATTTCTATCGAGGAAAATTTCTTTGATCTTGGAGGWCATTCGGTCATTGCWGCKATGGTCGTAAGTGAGYTGAGGMGGAGAGGKAGTGATATATCTGTAAGAGATCTCTACCTTCATCCAACCATTGAATCTCTATCGGAATTCATCATATCCAAAGCCTCTTCAACCCAGTCAGATCACGTGACAATCCACATCCCTRCTGCACCAAGAATTGGAAAGCCACACTTCTAYCTTTGTGGTATACTTCAAGGTTTATGGCTTCTTCTGATGCTAACCACKTMCAYCACCTTTSTGATGTTCCTGTTTTTAACGTTCCTCGACGTATACGWSYTCATCTACACGASTATTGGCATCCAAGGAATCACGTGGCTGTTGCTATGTCTTCTGTTGCTATCAATACCGCTGTACATCGCCTACACTATGTTGGTGGCCTTCATTATCAAGAAGATTTTTCTTGGTAGCGTGGAGCCTGGGATCTATGCGCTGTGGAGCATGTATTATCTGAGATGGTGGATTGTGAAGTCGGCAATGTAAGTACACAGGGAACACAATACCTGGGAATATACAAGTTTCGCAGTCGATTCTTACGGCTGTTTTTTAAAGACCACATCCATCCATCCATCCATCCATCCACCCACCCACCCATCCACCCATCCATCCACCCATCCATCCATCCACCCACCCATCCTTCGTTTATTTAAGAATTAATAATGTCTTCCAYCATATGTTTCTTGTTGTCTCAGGTCTATGGTCCCCACTTACCTCGTTTCTGGTACACCACTGATGCCTCTTTTTGCCAGACTGATGGGAGCACGGATAGGATCTGGCGTCTACTACAACACCTATTCTATCTGTGATTTTGACCTGCTAGAGGTTGGATCTGGTGTGAGTATCGAGGACCACGTGTCACTTGATACTCACCGGATCGACAGAGGAACATTGTTTCTGGGACGTATCATCATTGAARAYAACTGCTCCATTGGTGCAAGATCGTCTATCGCATTCAACAGTACAATCAAAAGAAATACACACGTCGAACCGCTGACCTTAGTGACTGACAACAGTAAGATTGAGGAGAATTCCCACGTTCATGGCTCCCCGGCTACGATCATTACGAAGAAAACCAGTGAAAAGTTCTATAAACAAAAACAATGGTCCTGGTCACGTTGGGTTACCTGTGGTCAAGTAGGSTTCCTTGCTTTGTATGGCGTCGTGTTTGCAGTTCCGTATGTTCTGGTTGTCGTGGTGATCCTGGCTGTGCCATATCTTAAAGATGCCTTTGGTAACCTTAGAGTAGATGTCATTGCCATGGTGATTCCAATCATTGCAGTCTTCAGTCAAACAACAAATCTTCTCTTGACCGCTGTCTTAAAATGGCTGTTCGTTCGTCGCCTCAAAGAAGGGAYTTTCTCCATTAACTCTTCTACATTCCTTCGTTACTGGATACAGSAAAGAATCATTATCATAGTCCTAGAATCAAGTAAAGAGCTCTTTKCTACTCTMTACACCAATCTATGGTTAAAAACCTTAGGAGTGAAAGTCGGGCCACATGTAGAAGTMTCAACGGCCTTCAACTTTGTGCCAGACTTATTGGAGCTGAAAGAAGGAAGCTTTGTCGCTGATCACGTATCATTAGGTGGTGCTGTTTTCAAAGACGGTCACTTTTCCCTCACAAA